AGACTGAGTAACCCTGAACAGGCTTTTATATATCAAGATATACAATTTGAAGAGTCAGAGCAACTTAATTGTGAATTTATACTGGGACTAAAGGTGGAAACTATTAGGCAAACTAATTTTATACAAAGCTGCTTGGACTCATTTCAACTGCTAAAAACAACAAAGATTGATATCCAGATTATATTGGCAGAAAGGGGAGTAAATTTTGCTCAGTTTGAAGTGATCAAGTTTTGTTACCAAACCTTGAGGTTTGATAATCGAAACGCTCTAATATTAACTTGGCATAGAAAGAAAGCCAGAGTCAGATATAAATATGATATCAAATGTTATCTGATGGGTTAAAAAGGTCTTAAAGGGTTTTTTTTGATTTAATGACGAAGGAAGACTATTATAAAGATGATAATGTTGTAATAATTGAATTTGTTTGACTTAACTATGAATGGATGGGAATTAAGGTTCTAAAGGTTCCCTTTTTTTTGATTTAATAATGGTTGAAGGAAGTGGACTTATTGTTAATGTTACATTTGATAAACAATTGAATCATAACTAAGTAATTGAAGTTGTATATCTTATTAAGGGATTAAAATGATTCTTTATAGGTGCAGTTTGATGAAACGATATAATTAACTTCTTAACTTTATGGAAGATGGGAATTTTTTCTTTTTTTTTGCTGAAATGGTAAAGATTTTGGGTATTTGAAGAATTAATTAAATGAATAATTTTTATTAAAAGGAAGATTATTATAAATATAATAATGTTGTAATAATTGAAAATAATTGAATGATAATTAAGTAACTGAAGTTGTAAACCTTATTAAGGGTTCCAAATGATTTTTTATAGTGTAGCCTCATGAAATGACAGAACTAACTTGTTAATTTTATGGAAGATGGGAATTTTTTTTCTTTTCTTTTTTTGTATAAGTAAGGGATGGTGTTAAACTTTATTGCTGAAATGGTGAAGATTTTGGGTATTTGAAGAACTAATTAAATGAATAATTTTTATTAATACGGAGGAGATGGATTGTTTAAGTTTAGAGTTTGGAGTTAGAGATATTAATATTTGTTTACTTGTATTTGAATATTAGCCTAGGTTTGGTTTGGGAAGTCCAGGGGGTGGGGGGATGGGATATAACATTGTGTAATATTTGTGATGTATTTCTTTTTTTTTTATGATAAAAACAATAAAATTTTATATTGAAAAAAAAAAAAGAACAAATGACCACGGAAGTGCTGCAACAGGTGTAACTTTGAAACAGATATTTAAGTAGCTTTGGGGGAGGTCCATCATAACTTCAGTCGCTAAGCAACCAGTCGTAAGTCAAGGACTACCTATGTTTATATTTCAGATATTATGGTACTAACTTGATATTTGAATTAAATAGAAAGCTTTTTTTGTACTAAACTGGTTTTAAACTGGTTTTTTAAAACATACCTAAGGTATATAGGAACAAAAACAGATAGGTTTATGTTATTCTGATTTCAACCATCTGTTTAAACTCTTTATCACAATCTACAATTCTGTGAGTTATATTTGATATAAAAACTGATATAAGCTAAAACCCAGTATGTCATTGAGCACTTATCATGTTACGAAATCCAGTCTATAGACTGTAATCCAGATGACATTCTTTAAAAAGTACTGTTTATTCGTTAGATTCTTGAACTTTTTCACTAACAACGTTTTCTGAAGTAGTTTCCTCTTCAACAGAGTTACAAACTGCTGGAGATGACACAATCATTTTTATGTTGGGAATCATTTCACTTTGGTCTCCAGTACTTTTTATTTCCATGTCTTTATGAGTTTCAGGTTCAGAGTACTGTTCTTCACTTGTTAAAATAGATTCTGAAGTTTGTGCTGCTTCTAGAGTGAAAACAAGCATGTGTCAAATGAAATATAGAACCATGTACATTTTGGCAAGTAATACAGAAAACTGACACCCTCCTGCCTGAATTCCAACTAATAAAGAAAGCTACTTATAATATTTCTGTCAATTTGAAAGTAAATTAAAAGGAGAAATTTAACTAATATGTGTTAATATTTTTAACAGTAGAAGTATCATGTCTGCACAAAAGAATATCTAGGTTGTTCAGTCTGAGCAGGTTGGTTAGGGAAAAACCATGTATGTCCTCCAGGATGGTTTCATTTTTTACCTAATGTGAATAGGCTAACTAACTTGGTCAGACTGAAGAAGCTCTTTGGATTAGCAACAAAAAATTCTAACAAACAAAAAAGAAGTCCAGTTGCCATGACTCAACTTCCAGACATTTGGATAGAAGAGGATCCACAAGAGGAAAAAAAGGTCTTCCTGTTATAGGGGTGGCCATCACTAGTCCAATATGGGTGCTGGAAGGGAGAAGTGGTAAAGGACAGGATGTCAACAAGGTTCCTCTTGCCTGCGGTGCTTGTGTGGAGTGCTGAAGCAGTTTCCTTATTCTTTGTTCCTGTCCAAGATGTTTGTTTTACCACAGGTATGACTGGGTGTCTGCAATGAAAAGATCCCTGACATCTCTTGTATATCTACTCCCAACTGTCCTTTGAACTGAAGCAACTCAAAGGGGAGCCTTCTTGGCTCCATTTGACATTCTGAGTTGTGCATTGCTGGAGTCTCTGCCCTGGAGTGCTTGCAAAGAAAAGGTGTCCATGGGCAGCTTGACCTGCTGGCTTAGATCACATCAACCTGGGACTCCAGCTGACTCTTTCTTTTTATTGGGGCAGGATCTGTGGGGAAAAATTAACTGGCCTTGAGAAAAAGATGGTGCTTTGTGGTGGCAGCTGCTTCGTCGTGAAGAAAAGTTTGATCAAAAGAAGGGGACTGCGAAGAGGTCAGGATTTGGTGAGCAGCCATGGAGCTACCTCTCTGCCTGATTTGGCAGAGTGTGGGAGACACTGTCGGATGGCCATCAATCCCCCAAAGGGCACTGAGCTGCAAGGAAGCCTGGCCGGCCGGCCCAAGAGATGGATCCCTGGCTGGAAGGCATTGCCTTACTTTTGTATCATCTCCCTAGAGAGTTTTCTGCTCTGCGAGAGGGAGAGAAAAGAAGAAAACAGATTTCTATTGGCAATGTCTCCTGTGCCTTATGTACGCCACACTGCAAGAGAGGAGAGATTGGAGAGGACTTGACTACAAGGGAGTAAAGAGGAACACAATGAAGAATACTCTTGTCTGTTCGCCATGCACTCTTGCAATGCCAATGCCAGGGCATTACTTCAAATGTGTATTCCCCACTGTGTGCTTGCTTACTGTCTTCTTGTAATCCCTTCAGCAAAAACATCATAAATCCCAGTCATATGACCGCAGGATGCTAGAAATAGCCATAAATGTAGGTTGGTTGCCAAACACCCTAAATGTAATCATGTGAACATGGAGAGGAGGGGTTGGAATTCAGAATCAGGTCATAAGAATATTTTGGTCTGCTATAATTTTGAACCATCACAAGTCAAGGACTATTTATACTGACTGTAATGGTGATCATGTGACCAAGGAACACTTGGTCATAAATAATTGTATATTGTTTATAAGTTCATTTTTCCAGTGCTGTTGAAACCGTATAGTCACTAAACAAATTGATTGTAACTTGTGGACTACTTGTACCAACTAATATTAATACTTGACAAAAATCAAATTTTCAGGTGAAAATTAACTGCTAAGAAAAAGATTTTAAGATTGAGAAAGATTATTAGTTCAAGGTTGGAAAAAGGTCTATCTGAAAAAAATTCATCAAAAAACTGCTATCACATAATCACAGCATAAAATGCTGTCTCAAGTTAATCTCTTTGAAGAAGCTTATGACAGGGAAAGGGATGAATTCTGACAAAAATAAAAATATAAAAGTAGTACACTAGTGCAAAGATTGTCATAGCCTGTTATTTTGGAATACAACCAGCATCTGTTTTAGTTATTGGTTTGTTTTGAAGATACTTCCCACCATAAAGGACATATTCCTAAATGCTCTTGAAATAATAAGGCATCTCAACCTTTATTTTTTTCTTTGGCTGCGTCTACCATCTGTTTTTCATAAATCTTCTTTAGCATGCTGCATGATTTCTTGTGCGTAAACCAGTGCATTTTCTGGCAAGTCTGATCACAGTAAATAACCTGAAAATCAACAAAAGTATATTACCATTTTGATTTTTAAAACAATTTGAATTACCTAAGGATCAGAGACATCCCTTTACAATTAAAAAAATACAACTGATATTTTTTTAAATAAATGAGCAACCAGTTGCATTTTGTTTGCTCCCACAGTTAGAATTTCAATATTGAGAAGTTATTTTCTTGTTTTCATTTTAAAAGGTAAAATTTGTTTTGAAGATTGAGATACACTCAATCTTGTCATTCAGTTGAGGGTAATTTTATTTGATAAATAATTACAAAGGATGGGAAAATCCTTTGAAAAGAAAAGAACATACAAGTGATGGTAGAAAGATAATGTATAAAAAAACCTTAGCTGAAAGAAGCAAAAATAATTGTTTGTGAGAATGGGCTTCTGGCCATTAATACATGGAAGTGGAAATTGGGTATGCCAAGAAAAATTAAAATTGAATGCAATGTGGAAGATTATAAAGTGTGTGTGATAAGTGAAGGAAGGCAAGAATGACTTGATGAGTGACCAGTATGAAGTGTGTTAAGACTGCAGACAGATTGAATGACAACTAAATTATAAAACATACTTGAAGGAAAGTGACCGGCTCACGAGAAAGATTAAGTAATACACAGTTGTGAAAATCTTGAAGAGAAATAAAAAGTGTGAGGAAAAGGCAATATGAATTAGTGTATGGATATGGCAGAAACACGAATTGTTTATAATGATCACAAAGTATGGAGCAGTGATCTCTTTTTCACATGTGATGCATGCTGTGCATTTGTGATTTGCATGATGCTTAACCTAAGGGGGAACGGAGTGTTAGTTATATACAGTATGTGATGAGGATAGATCTGTTTATTACTTTATCTGCATACTCTTACCATTTTGCATGTGGAACATCTTTTGTCCGCTCCTTTTTCCCCACATGTTGTACAAAATTCAGCATCTATAAAGCCTATATGACCAGTAATAGCTTGTGTAAGTACAGAAAATGCTGTAGGATCAGAACCCTGGAGAGGCAAAGGGAGATGAAATAGCAGTTTTTCTTAACAAGAATTCTAAGTCCAAGCCCAAAGGAAAAAAAAAAATCCTCTATGCTCTGGCTGTTTATTTTTATTTTTTAAAAAAAACACCTGACATGCATCTACCTTAATACCAGGCATCCTGAAGAGAATGAAATGATTTAGGGCAAAATTTCTAAATACTGTTCTCACTGAAAGGATTAACAGAGTTTCCATTTAAGGAATCTATACAATCTAACTAGATTGACTAATTTTACTCATGAGAAAATATTTAAAAAGAGAATGGAGTAGAATCTACATGTCCCTGTAGATTTCCAAATACTATTTAAAATGGATATATGTCACTTAATGGTACACATTCTCAGGCCTTTAATCTAACTTGCCAAAACAAAAGGCAGGAAAATGAAGAACTTGCCTGACAAATTTTGATTCTTGTTGGCACATCAAGCCAAAACCCCTTTTAAGCACTGTTATAAATCTATTAATGGAAGTGTTCTAAGAAAGGTTTGTTCAAGAAAGTAGACCCACTGATGAATAACTTGCATTCTACCATTAGAGTAGGTTTGGCTGAGATCATATAACCTATCCCTAAATCAACACTATTTCCTCTGCATTGTTTGCCAATTCCACACTGCTTAATCTAGATGAATTGGAAACCAAGAGCAATCAGGTATCACCAGAATAACTATGACCTCTGCTTGTGAGGCCTTTTATGTTATTTGGAAATTATCTTAAGGAAAAGGTATAAAGAAGACCCATCAGCCAGTCAGTCCCAAAAGCATCCAGTTTCATGTTTCTGGCAATGAATATCGACATTATGTGTTATCCTAAAGATGTCTAGATGTCTAAATCAGGAAACAATCTGTTGGAAGGACTGAAGGTTTGGTACCCATGCTAATTCCTGGATTATGTCACTGCTGAATACCTTCTATCAGACCTTTAAGGATTCGTAAAACATGATTCCATATTTCTTCCCTGTACTAGTTGGAAAAGGAAGACAAGGACAAAGCAGCATAAGCTTGGAAGCTTATGTATCCTTGTTCCCCGATTGTGTTCAGGTCAGTTATCTAGCTGGATTACATAACTTTTAACAGATGCGCTGAAGGATCTGCTTAGATTGCTTTTTTCCCCCTGCAGCCAGTGCCAGATTGATTCGTGTTTGTGCTAAGTGCTAATTGTTTTGCCTCCAAATATTTAGTAAGATGACACTAAAAGAATCCATAATACCTGTATCTTAGGTTTTCATGACTGCTATGCAAGTCTTAGAAACTCAAAAGGTTAGCAAGAGCTGAGCTAAGGCAAAAGACAATTTTGGAAAAAAAACATGAAGTAGGCAGAGAACGCTTTGAGATAATCATCCAAAGAACCAAATTTTGCAGAAACTTGTCCCCCCTTCCCTTTCCTTGCATTAATTAGAATTTGGTTACAGTGAACATGTGTAAATAATGCACACTAAAAATTATCTTGTAGATTCTAAATGTTCAATCAGTACAGAACAACAGACATACTGTTCATCAAGATACACTTACAATTTCAACAGGAGCAATGTTTCTCACAAGCTGCTGAAGCAAGGTAGTTTCACAATAAGGAAATTTCCGAATAGATTCCCTGATGATCTTCTCTTGATAAACTGGAAATCCATCTGTCTCTCTGCCTTTTAACAGGCTGAAATTAAAGGTAAATATAGCTGAAGTTACATAAGTTGGCCACGTTTTTTCTTCCTACTCATGATGCAAATGTATGTGTAGCATAAGATCACAGCATTAAGAAAAACTACGATGCAAATACTTAATATATGAGTTTTGTGAGTGCAGTATATTCAATCACCTCAAACAACAGTATTGGATTCTAATGTCTAAATAATGTAGTATGTATAAAGTAAGCCATAGTTATTTTACCTCTCAAATCATGCATACAGCCCGATAACTTAATGGGAAGCCCCAGTTTTGTACTTAGAGTACGAAAAGTACAAGAATCTGTACTTGTGGACAGATAATATATTGTGTGGAAAAGAGCCATCTACTGAAAAAATATACCTTTTGATTAATCCATCCAATTTGTCATCTCGTTCAAGGAAAAGGATACATTTTTTGAAAACGCAGCTAATGTAGTGCATTTTAATTGCAAGGACTTCATTCATCTCTCTCTGTTTCATGCACTTCTCACAGATCAGATCTAATACTTTGTAACAGTTCTGCATTGCTTCAACTTCTGCCAAAAGAGGATTTTCTTTCACCAGCAACACAACCTATAGAAAACATTTATATACCCAGTAAGTTGTACTTCCTAAAACATAGCCAATGCACAATTGGATATTCTTCTACACTCATGGCTCAAAGTCAAGTTAGGAAGGCCCTTGCACAGCTTTGTATGCCGTTCCTGAAAGAGGATATTCTACATGCAGGTCATTCATGTCCTAGTCATCTTTCATATAAATTATGCATTTGATATGGGGCTACCTTGAAGATTATTTGGAACTTATGTTGGTGCAAAATGCAGTAGCATGGGGCAGTTGTGTGTGAATCTACACTTATATATGTTATCTTTCTGCTCAATGAGTTGCACTGGTTACCAATTTGCTTCTAGGCCAATTCAAATTGCTGGTGATAACCTTTAAAGCTGGTGATAACCTCTAAAATCCCTCAAAGCTGGCTTATTTGAGGGACCCCTCCCCCCCCAGTGCCATGTACCAACACCACTGGGTCTGGCAGAAGAGACTTGTTGCAGTCCATCCATTACAAAGTGTCACCAAGAGAAGAGTTTTTTTGCTGCTGTATATGATCTATGAAAGGGCATTCTCCCAGTGTCAGACTGATTCCAGTCTTGATGGTCTTGGGATCAGAGTGATGTGGAGCCCATAAAATGACTGTTCATAAATTACTGTGTTTTCCAAGTGACTGTTATCTACAATTTTTAATTGATGTATTTGTTGAGTGATTGCCTTATCTTACATTTATGAGTGTAAGATAGGCTGCTGTATAAATTAAATTTAAAAAAGGAAATAAAGTTAATTCTTTTTTGAATTCTTTATAATAAGCATTAACAAGTGCAGTTTAACAGAACTGAACGTGCGCTCTTTCTGTCTCTCTCTCCCTCTCTCTGGTGTGTATTGGTTATGTACATAAAAGGGTTAAACCCTTAATTATGAAAGGCTACTCATAGTTACCCTCAGTACTGTTGTGCCTTTTGAAACATAAGATAAAAATAATATAAAATGTTGCTTTCTTGCTGTTTTTCTCTGCCTGGGTTTGCCAGTGAAATGTTTTTGTTTACTGATGTTTAGTCAATAAACATAAAGCTATATTTTTGCCAGTGCAACTAAGTGATACATGGAGGCATGGCCATGCTCACATATGGTGGTGCACAGTTGTGGCCATACCTGGGACAAATGGGTGTAGTTACAGCAACCCCTGCCCTCATTATCACATATATTAAGTATTTCAATACACTTGGAGCTGTCCTTACAGTCTACTTGGAAACTATATCCCATGTGCTTACTAGCACTTACTCAACTTTGCAGGCTGCAATAGTTACTAGTAAGTTTCCAAGTAGATTTTAAGATGCTAGGATTGACCTATAAAGCCCTTTAGGATTGGACACCTTCCAGATTGTCTGCTCTAATCAGTATCAGTGCGATCAGTTAAGAGTTGTTAGGGGGAAGCTTTTATGTAGTTTTACACCTCTCAAAGTTTAAGATGTTAAGGCTAGATGGCATTGTTTCTCCGGCAATTCCAGTAACAATATAACTTAGACCAGGGCTTTTCAACCCATAGTACGCGTATCACTGATGGTACATCGGCAACTGGCAGGTAGTATGCGTACGGCAGGTTGAAAAGCACTGTAAAAAAAGTGTAAAAGTGTAGGCCTGTGGGAGAGTCAGCTGGAGCTGCAGTGTTGCTGGGGCTCTGCTGAGCGCCCAGGATCAGCTTGGGGCTCCAGCTGATTGGCGCACGCTTAGGCTGATTGGCGCTTGTGTCTGCCTGCTTTGTCCTGCAAAGCGGGGATCATCCGGCGCTCTTGCCCGATGTCATGCCGGCAGCCCGGCGGGATCAGGAAGGCTCCGAAGGAGGTATCTGCAAGGGAGAGGGGGAAGAAGGATCCAGCCCCATTGGGATCAGGAAGGCTCCAAAGGAGATAGCTGCAGGGGGGAGGAGGAAGCAGGATCCAGCCCCATCCTAAGGTTCCAAAGGAGGTAGTTCTAAAATCGATGTGCTGCTGCTGGGGAGAAGAATCAAAGTAGGGCAAAACAAGCGTGATCCATCATGGTTTATTGATTGCCAAGTTTTCCTTAGGTTTTCCTGTCCCTTCCTGGGCTATTAAAATCACATAGGCAAGGTCTGTACCGAACATCTGGCTGCAAACTAGTCAACTGGATTTTAGTCTAGCCCCTTGTGCAATCCTAACCTACATTCTGTAGGTAAAAGGATGTACTAACAGGAGAGAACTGCAAAATTGGTTTGTTATTTATTCTTGCCTTTAGTAGCAATAACTACATTCTTTGATGACTTTGCTAGCAACCTGTAGGCTGCGAATTTTCCTTTCCCCCTTGGAGAAAGAATTCAGAAATGCTAGTTTTATTTTTCCTGCTAATTACAGTATATTTTGTGGGGGTTTTTAAGGAGCTGTGAGAAAAAGATGTGTCTGAAAATTAAAGGATGTATGGATTGAGTTATGGAACAGGAAAGGAAAGTACATGGACTTACGCACTTCCAGTTGCTGACAGGTGTGCCACTAATATTCTGACTTGACACCTGCATGCTCTCGGGGTCCAAAGATTATCTTCATTCTTTATAGGCCAGTATTGTGAATTAACTATGTGAAGAGTTGTAATTAGTAATTTAACTATGTTTTCTTTTTGGCTGTATTTTAATTTATATAATGTATGTTTAATTGAGGAGGGCTTGGAGAGGTAGAAGTGGTCAATATGGAGGCTGCACCTTGCCCTCCAGATCTGCCTCCCCTGCAGATCTCTGGAGAGGAGGAGGGGGTGGCAGGGGAACTGTGTGAGGGAAGGCTGCCCCAACAAACCAGCATCCTTACCATGTACAATTGGAAATGGGAATTCCCTTTTGAGAAGAGCCAGCCTTCCTTGTGCAGGACCTGGGAGCACTGCTTCCCTGCCACCTCCTCTTGCTCTCCAGAGATCTGTCAAGGCAGAAGTTGAACTTGGAGGCAATGGCTTCCTGCAAACTTTCTCCTCCGCGCTTCCACACGCAGCACGTTGTCCTCCACCTCCTGCTTTGCCAGAAGGGGACACCGGACAGGAAAACATCAATTATGTCTGGGATTGGAACGTATCCTCTGGAATGCTATGCGTGCGCATGCACGCGCACGCACACATGCACATATGAAACATTCCAAGCTTGGACACTTTTATCCACATCTGACCTAGCAAACTGCCATCATACCTGGGCTTGGGAAGAAGGCCCTCTCCTTCCTCTGTGGATAAAAGTCTCCAAACTTGGAATGCGATATGTGCACACGTGCGCATGCACTTGCTGCTAGCAGTTTGGGGAGATGAGGAATTTGTGGGGAACCGAATTGTCCCCATATCGAGTTAGTTGGTGCAACTTGTTCCATTCCAACCCAGCTGTCTCAAGTCAGCTGTGTCCAGTGAGTGGTGCCCACCTGCTAGGCGACTGGTGGTACTTAAATATTGCCATATCTTAAAAGTGGTACAATCTCTGAAAAGGTTGAAAAGCCCTGACTTAGACATATACTGTTTCATAGTGCTTTACATCACTCTCTGAGCAGTTTACAATGTCAGCATATTGCCTCCAATGGGTCCTCATTTTACCGATCTTAGAAGGATGGAGAACTGAGTCAATCTTACCCACCATCAAGATTGAACTCCAGGCTGTAGGAAGAGTTTGTCTGTAATACTGCAGTTTAACCACAGTGCTACAAGGGCTCCTTTATATTTTGGACATCACACTCATCACACTGATCTTGTCCATGTTGATTTTCTGGAATCTTTTAAAAATTGTGTTTCCTCTGTGGGCCTGTCATTGAGTCAATAGCCAAACTGCTTTCCATTTCTTGTTTATTTTCTGTTTCTTGTCATTTTTTATATCCTTAGTGTTGCATGTCACGGCTGATATCCTAATCATTGTTATAACTGGTTGGAAATTTACCCTTGATCTTTTAACTTAAAGTGTATCATAATTGAAGCAAAGCAGAAATATAATAAAATAAACAATCATATTAACTTCCAGATGTGTTCTGCATACAACTGTAAAAATTCCAATTCAGCATGGCTATTAAATAAGTTTTGAGAATTGTACCACTGAATGATGAACTCCAGCACTGAATTAATTTCACACATCATAAAGTTGCCAAATTTGAAAAACACTGGTCTGTACATTCAAAAATCTGGGACACTATAGCAGAGAAAACATGAGTTTCAAGTGAGACATTATGTGAAAATTAGACTCTAAAGGCACTGCAAAGACGACTGTACTATACAATAATAAAAATGCTTATATATGAAATCAGCCTTAAGATACAAATTAGGTATGTCACGGGATTAATTTCATTTTTGCAGGTCCAATTAGCTGCCAACATGTTAAAAAAACATATCCAAATAAGAATATATTGTACCTTAACAGGATGCAAATTAGTAGTTGTAATAATTTTATGTAGAGGTCCAGCTAGCTTAATTGGAAGCTTGGGTTCTTTATCCAGTCCTTGTGGTTTTGTGTAGTAGTTTAGCTTTTCACGCGGAAAGAAATTGTTGATAACTGTTACACAATCATGCTGACCTAAAGAGAGCAATGATTTCCTTTTATGAAGTGAAAGACTATAGGATTATTAAATCACAGTTAAAACTGGGCATTTGGTGATGAAGCAGAGTTTGCTAAAAAAAAATACTGCATAAGACAGTGAAAATTAAAAAAAAAAAGACAGTGAAAATAATTTATTTGCTAATAATTGATAGATTCAAATCAACTCTTCTGTACAGAAAACTCAGGATCTAAAATAGATTCATTTTGATATATAATTTTAAACTCATTCCCATTTTTCAGGCCAGTATTTCTTTAGTCAAATGCACTGTATCAATCCAATCTAAAAAGTATAGTTAGACAAAGATTTAATACTTCTAGAAATATCTCACAACTTTATATAAAAGTACCACATATTCAGAAGCACAATAGTGTATAGGTGTGTTAGCTAAAAGGGAGAGTACTCTTCCTACCAAAATATTTTATACTTTTTCACGATTTAATTTAACACATGATACAAATCAAGCTCCATTCTTTAACAGAAAACGCAGAAGGTGTCTTAAATATTTAGACAGCAGAAGAATAGATTATAAATCTAATAAATAAATGAGAATTAGATAGATCTTTACCCACAAAGGCAGCCATCTGAGCTGCAGTTCTTCCCACAGAATTGACCACATCAATCTCTGCTCCAGCCTCTAACACCATCCGGGTTATTTCTTTGTTGCCTAAAATGAAGAAACTTTATTTAGACTTTTTAAAGATGTTTTCACAAACTAAATGAAATGTGTTTCCCTCTGACAGATATTAAAACTAACCCTTCTGCTAACAAGAAAGAAATCAAATGATTGGTTTTCTAACAGAATCAATTATACAGGTTCAAATTCTTTTCTTTCCTTTACTGTACCTTCAATTGGAAGTATCTGGAGTCACAGAACATTTCTCTTTGCAAAGATGAAACAAGCATCAACAAGCTTTCTAAAACTTTAATTGACCCACCTGTCCACCATTACTGTGATCAACTGATGCCAGAGATTCTGCATGTTCTCCAATTAGGAGAAAAAGAAAAGAGAGTGGATCAAATAATTCTAATATATGGGAGAGAAAGCAGTTCTGTGGACATGACCCATCACTCAATTATTTATATTAAATCAAGCTACAAAATCTTATCCCAAATTAAAATGCCCATCCCATTGATTTCCTCAAATTCTGTTACCATCTGCTTTTTTCTATCAGTACAACTCAAATAAAAATAAAATATAACTTTAAAAATATATACATCATTAAGAGATTCTTATGCCATCAGATCAAAGTGAAGATTACCACTTTTATACATTTGGTAGAAAGCAAAATCTTCCTAACACTTCTGTAGTCCCTGAGAAAAGAACTAACAGGTTTTTTTTCTTTGCCTAAATAAGAAACTATATTTAAGAGAAAAAGGAAAACACTATTTACCTGAGAGTCCAGCAAACATTAAGGCAGTATATCCGTATTCATGATTATTGCAGTTTACATCAGCTCCATGTTGCATCAATAGCCTGCATATATCAGTTTTACCTTTATATGCTGCATGCATTAGAGGGGTCATTCCATGCTAATGAAAGAATATATAAATGAAAGTTCCATTTGTTTTCTAGTTAACAGTACCATAGCAAGACTCATAACACTGATGTTAGGTGGACTGACAAAAAACATTAATTGTTAGAATCCTAAAGATAAAAATGAAAAATGCAGGGAAGCCCTAAGGCTCAGTAACAATGCAGGTGAACAGTATAAGAGTATAATATTTCTATTGTTACATAGCTTAACAAAAATATTTTAATTCCATTGCCTTAATATAACCAAGTTATTAAAGACAAGGGTTTTTCCCTCTGTTTTTACATTTATGATTGCTACTTTTATTCACTTTTATAAATTTTCTGTTTATTATATTGTGGATATTAATATCTGTTTTATGTCCATTTGCTTTAGCATGTTGTCCCATTATTTTGAATTTTACTGCAAATCTCTTTGAGATTTCTAATGGGAAGCAGCAGTATGAATTAATAAAAAAACATAGGGTTTTAGACAAAAGTTTAGACAAAGTTGACTGATCATCCCAGGAAAGACTGTTTAACTATATTTTCTTGAAACTTCAGTAAATACTGATAAGAAAATGTGTACCTAAAATTACATCAAAATTTCAATCAAAAGACAGATGTGGTCTACTAGAATGAATTGCCTTTAGTAGAACATGGCACCTGGATGGATTAAATCAAATTCTCTGGAGCACAGGAGCATTAAATATAGGGGAATATGATAATTTAATTTTCAAGTCATCTAGAAAATATGAATTGAAAATAAATATTCTTAGCTTTATTTGAATATACACATTTGTAATTAAAGCTAGTTGAAGGGCTATTTGGACTTTATATAGCTTGGAAAGGTAGAAGCTTTAAAATGATTTCAGAATATGATTAATATTAACAAAAAATAGAAAATCTTTGAAAAAATGAATGCATTTGGAAGTTATGTTGTAATCTTTTTTATGGTTACAAATTCAGAGGCTTATTTTGAATAAACATGTATAGGATTGCATTGGAAAGGTATTATTTCCAACACAATATCTATATCTCTTCAGGCACTTTGCATTTCTTTTTCTTTTTAATAGCAAACAATGAAAAAAAAGTAATAGCAAATACTTAATAATTTAACTAATGTTAAAATAAAAAATAAGACTTGCTCCATTATAAAATATTCAAAATCCATAGGTGGATAATAACTGTATTAGAAGCAATTAAACAACATAAAGATTTATAAACTTCCAAGTTTTCTACTACTAAACTATGAAAATTCTAGAGAGTCTAAAGCAGAGTTCCTCAACCTTTTCGAGTTGCGGCCCGGAGCGGGGGGGGAGAGGGGATTGTTTTGTGAAAGGGGCATGTGCATCCATGATGCGCGAGGCTGTGGGCGCTCATGCGAGTGGGGCTGCAAGCACCCACAATGCTCGTGCAAATAAGGCTCCAAGCACTCGTGCAAGTGAGGCCACGAGCACCCACAATGCTCACACAAATGGGGCCGTTAGCGCATGCGATGCTCACGCAAATGAGGCCCTAAGTGCCTGCATCATTCCCAAAAATGGAGCCGCGAGTGTGTACAACGGTCACACGAGGCCCTGAGCACTTGCACGAATGAAGCCCCAAGCACCGTGACACTCGCGCAAGTGGGGCCCCAAGTGTTTGTGCAAGTGAGGCCCCAAACACCCACAATGCTCACATAAATGGGGCTATGATGCCTGCAACGCTCGCATGAGTGAGGCCACAAGAACCTATGACACTCACACGAGTGGGGCCGTGAGCCCGTGACCTTTACATGAGGGGGCTGTGTATATACATACGCACACACCAGTCAGCCACTCACACGGTCCAGTTGCAAACAGGCCATGGACTGATAGTAGGCCATGGCCCACAGGTTAGGGACCCCTGGTCTAAGCATATTTCTTTTTTTATTGATCATAATTCTACCCTGCCCACCTCATCTAAGTGCTTTTCTATCATTTGTATTGCTTAATGCTGCTACTTATCTAAAAGCGATCGTTCTTACTCAAGGTTAAATGCAGTTCAGGTATTGCTACTTCCTGGATCTTAAATTTGTGGCAAAATGTCTTGTTAGGTTTTATTTGGCTTAAGGAAACCTATTAGTTTCAGATAAAAAATATAATTTTGCTAAATGTTACCTCATCTAAACAATTCACACGGACGGTCTTGCTGCCAAGGAGTCCTGAAGCTTCTTCAGTGTTTCCTAAAAGTAAAAAAAGTTTATGAGAAGGAATGATAAAAAAATGTGTATTACATTATATAGTTTAATGTATTTATATAATTTTTCCAAGTCTCCATAAATCTTATAAAGTATTTACATTCACAGTTCATGACTGAGTCGAGTATTTTCCAGTTTTATTTCAATATTCTAATCATTACTCTCCACTTTTAAACTTTAATAAAAATCTTTAAGACTATAAATTAAAGTTACTTTACCTTATTATCCAAATACGTTATTATTAAGAAATAGTAAACTACAAAATTATTTTGGATAATTTTTTTTCAAGGTTTTTGGTCTTAGATCAATGGTGGCCACCACCTGCATCATTTTACTGTTGGAAGAACACAATTAGGCCAAGGGCCAACCTTTGGGGAATTTAGCCCTTGCCTAACTTTAGTTCTTATTAGTGACAACTGGTTTGATATGCTTTAGCAAGAAGTATATTCTGTGACTAACAAATATTGATAGTAAACTCAAATCAAGAGCTTTGTATTTTCAGTCAGCCTGCTTCTCCTATTTACTTCTTTTGTGGAGTAACTGGGGAAATCAGAACCATTACCTCATGCTTCTGATTTCACACAAACAAAATGTTCTCATAGGACAATGATGCTTCGATGATTCATACATGTTTTGGGTTAAATGGTCCCATTCTGATAACACTAACTGCATTTCTAGGTTCAGGGGAAATACTAGAAATTATATTAAAACAGGTTACAAGAACATAGTGAAAGTATAAAATGGGCAGATACATATTTTTTGCCTGCTACCTCTGGACGTAAAGGATACAATCTTAACCACATTAAAACTATTTGGCATATTCCTTGTTCACCAGGATTTGTTTAACTTCAGTATTTAATAAGAAATATAGCAGGTTCTGATGCTGTTGAGAAACAAAGCAACTGACTATTTTTGGTCAATCTGCTAATATATATATAATTTTTGATCCATTTGGTATGCAAAAAATTTATTAAGTGCTAGGTTTATGTGCAGAAGTATAAAGTGTCAGTATAAAGTATAAAGTACCCGTATGTCTGAACGTAATTAATGCAAAACAATTATCTAACAATGGTTACTAAGAAGAATCCACTAGTGAAGTTCATGCATTAATTCTGAATATGAATTTTAATTTTCCATTCTGTTTCTATAAGCAGAAAAATATAAGCATATAATCTAAAAAGAAAGATAGCATTTAAAAATTTCTATCAAATCATTCACATTACTATGAAAAAAAATCAAGATAAAAAGAAACTATACTAGATTTTGTGGGAAGAAGGGGATTTTTTCCCATTTCATTAATATTTCTTAATTCTATTTATTTATACAAATAAAAATAATAGTTAGATTAGTACCACTTCTCAATTTTATGTATTACTGTTAATTTTATTTCCTCGAGCTACACAAAGGAAAACAATTGAACAGGGTAATAAATCAACATAATAGTTGAATGCAGGTAGTCCTCGACTTACAACAGTTCATTTAATGACAGTCTGAAGTTACAATGGCACTGAAAAAAGTGACTTATGACCGTTTTTCACGCTTACAATTGTTGCAGCATTTCTGTGGTCACGTGATCAAAATTCATATGCTGGGCACAACTGACTCATTTTTATGAGAATTGCAGTGTCCCAAGTTCATGTGATCACTTTTTTGCAACTTTCCGGCAAGCAAAGTCAATGAGGAAGCCAGATTCACTTAGCAACCATGTTACTAACTTAACAACTGCAGTGATTCACTTAACAAATGTGGCAAGAAAGGTCGTAAAATGTGGCAAAATTCACTTAACAACTGTCTCACCTAGCAACTGAAATTTTGGGCTCTATTGTGGTCGTAAGTCAACGACTACCTGTAGTTGATAATTGAAGTGGTTGAAAGCAAAGACATCAAGTCAAACCTCTAAAATGAGTTCCCAAAGTTAGGCCCACACTTGGAGCTAAAAATATTGTAATTCTGGCAACAAGCTTTTTTTCCCCTTGGAAACATATTCTATTTTTTACCATTACTTAAAAATGCCCTCTATTATAGCAACTTCATTGCCATATCTGACAAGAACATTGAAAGACAAGCCTCAGATTATTTTTTTCAGTGTGAAGATAGCATAATATAATCATGCTATCTAATGTCAGGGAATCTTCTGTCTGAAGTTTCTGAACCATTTTTGAAGGCAGGCACTTGTAGATTTCAATATTCCAAATGGTATGCTTCCATTTGAGTGCATAATTATCAAAAGACTACTTATGCCCCAGTACAGTCATTGCTGAAGCATCAATCTAAGCTGATGGAAGTTACACCATTTTAATGAATTTAGAAAACTCACAATATGAATCTAAACCTTAGAAGCATTAAGGAAAATATAGACCAATGTATCTGAAGCAAACCTGAATAGAAAGTCTGAAGTGTTCTACAAAGCAGCCACCTGTTCAGCTTAATGCAATTTTGAGCATGCAGTTAGCAAAGCACATTGTCTGATTCTCATCATGTGAATGAACTGAAGAGAGCATGAACTGGTTGTCATATAGTAATCATAAAAACAGAATATATTTGTATAAAAATATAGAAGGGACACAATCTGTCACTATAAGTCCATCTGTTAATTACAAGGACGAATGATAAAGATAAAGATAATTCATGCTTGTAAAACCTTTATCTGCCAATATCTTTTTTGTAGTGAGAGCCACACATTAACAAGGTAACCAGATTAATCAACTGGAGTTATGGGATATGAGATGTAAAGGTTGATGACTGGGGAAGGGAAAGGCAAGCAATAAGGTGGGACACAGAAAGCTACTCTTAGGGAAAGCAGTCTTCATGTTTTATACCAATTTGGCTCTGCCCCAGTCAAATGACTGATGCAGACTCTCTGTGGCATGGCTTTCTGCCATTGCTGCCACTAGATATTAGTTCAGCTTGGAATAAAGCTTGTTTCATCCAGGACTGAATAACGGATAAGAAGGATAGCCTGGTATATATAATTGAAACCTGGATAGGTGTTGGAGGTTGGGTAGTAAAGGTGGCCTTCAGGTTTAAAATGGGATTGCTACTTTTGTACCAGCCTGCCTGTTGCAAGGGGCTTCACAGTCTGAGCTGCTTAATGTTTTGGCCAAACAGCTAATAGACCTCTTCAGATTTATGCTACTGGGGGGCTCCAAATTGCTTTCCCTAGATGAAGAATTGTAGGTAGTTCAAGAATGTGTCATCCGGATCAGAATACTGAAGGTCCAAGTTACTGTAAAATCCATATCTGGATTTTGTCTCAGGATAGTGGCAGAGACATCTAGAGGTAGGGGATATTAGCATCAATCATTTGTCATGGTCAGATCACTTTTTGACAGTCTTAAGAGTTCTTTGCAATTATTCCCATTGAAGAAAGGAAAGATCGATTTGACTTGTCTGCTTCATGCACATGATGGATTTTGATGAATTTCAGAGGAAATTTGGGATGTTTCTGAAATCTGCTGCCTGGTTTGACTAAGGTCTTATCCATTCTTAGAATAGAGGAATGCCAGGAGATGAAATAGCAGAAGAGACACTTGGAAGCACACGAGGACTTAATTCAAGTATGCATGGTTAAGGATAATTTATTTTTGCTCATAAGAGTGACAAAACATAACTATTTTTCTGTTCTTGTCATACCTGCAAATAGGAAGTCAACAGCCCTATTCGAAGTAACCCACTCCCTCCTAAATAAAAACGGCACGCTGGCTGAGGAATTCTGGGAATTGAAGTCCACAAGTCACAAAAGGGCCAAGTTTGAAGACCCGTTATAAGTAGTTAAATGTCCTATAACACCAGGAAGACCACTACAGGTCATACACGACCAGGCCTAGATTTTATGGCACCTGAGTAGCGGTCAAGTTCATTACACAGACAGATCTGAACTAGCAACTTCTCCATTGATCTCCTTATCTTGTATTTGAACAAGCTGCACCTTGTTAAATCTTACGCTCACTGTCGGAAAACAACCCGCTTTAAAAACCATCGGGCCTAACCACGAGGTTTGCATAGCGATTCGCCGCAGCCACCAAAAATAGCTGCCTGCAGCCATTCCAATTGGGAGAAACAAAACCTTCGCCGTCTGGGCCTGAACAAGGAAGCAACCCAGCGAATGCAAACTGAGACAGTAGCGCGTTGCAAACCACTCACCGCTGCTAATGACTTCAAGCAATGCTTTCTCCTCCTCATTCAAGTCTCCTCTCTTTGGAAGCGCCATCGCCTATTTTATGTGTATTCTTCCTTTTTTCCCCTTCCCTGCCAAGAGCAATAAAATGGAGCGTGTTAGCACTGGAAGGCGGAAAAAAGAAACCACGGCCGATCAGCTGGGGCAACTCTGTTGCGCTTTACGAGAGCCTTTCCGCGCGCGCTCCAACCTCATGGCCGGTATCACCTTGTCACCGGGGAGAGGGGAGGTTTAAAGCCAGGTTGACATGTACACGGTAATAATGCATCGCTTTACGGCACCTGAGCGGCTTGGTCGGTCACACATATATGTGTGAGGAAAAAACTAAAAGTAGCAATTTAGGAATATGCTAAACTGGCCATCCCGCTCCTGACTATGATTAATCTCCCCCTCTTTGGTTATAATGGTGCGGCCTAGCCGTGAAGTAGGCGGAGCTCAGACTGCTTTTAGGTGTCAGCGTGCGCGCCCTTCCCTTCTCCATTGTGTGTAGACGCTGGTCTCGTGTGTTTTCCTGCTTCTCCTTAGACCGGAGCCTCTTCCCCGGCAGAGGTAAGCGAATGTTGGGTTGTGGGGAAGCGGCGCCTTGAGCAAAAAAAAAAAAAAAAGGTCAGAAAGCGAAGAGGAGAAAAAGCTGAACAAAAAAAGTTTGTTGCTGCTGCAAAGCAGAAAGAGAAAGGGGGCAGGAGGCATAATTACTCTGACTTTAAAGGGCATAGAAAAAGAAAGACTCTTGTCTTTTCCGACAGGTTTGACTCCTTCAGCCTATCAGTTAGTCAGGCTTCGGGCTAAAGGCTTTCAAGCGACTGCAACAGCAGCGGCGGAATATCTTTGGAGGCGAGAGGAATTTTGTGGTGGAAGAGGTGTACGTGCGTGACTTTAGCAAGGTGACACGGGACAAGAACATCATGCTGGGTTGGAAGCAGCACTGAGAGCTTTTAAAGCTTTCATTTGTGCAGCTGCCTTTTGCGGGAGAGCGGGCCAGAAACTGTCTTTGCGTGGGGATTTAAAGGCCTCGTAATAGGGATTTGGAGGAGGGGAAAAGCACAATTCGCGGTCCCAAGACTGCTTCCAACTGCTTGCTAAAATACGATGCTAAGAAACGTGTTGGTCACGGAAGTAGTACTGGAGGGAAATCATAGACGTTTCATCTTTTTCTGATCTCTTTGGGGAGGCACTGCGCTTGATGAAACGGTTGTAAACGAAGGAGACGTTTTGATATTTTGTAATATCCCAAAAACAGGTACGGGTTGCTTGAGGCAGTGAAAGCTGGCTGGTCTGCAGTGCTACGGTCCGATGGTTGTCTGGTTTGGGAGACTTTAAAACCAAACTGTGTCTCTCTGCGGGGCAGCGGGGCACGCAGTTTTATTGCAGAAGCGCCCTTGGCATCCAAGAAATCTCAACCAGAGAAGTATAAATTTCATGTGTGGCATTTTATGATAACCTCAAATATTAGATTATTTATCTGACAGTAAATTCCATTTTGGCTAAATTCCGAATTGTCATGTGGGTTACATCTATCAGAAGGAACCAGTGTATGTTTGGAGTGTAATTCATTAATGTACAGGTGTTTTTTAAAAAAAATATATTTCAAAGTGATTGAGATTTATGGTAAAAGGTAAGTTGGGGGATAACAAAAGTCTTGAAAAATCCTTGTACCAAACTGAAACTTTTTATCTCTGTCACTCTGAATGCTTTTAAAAAAAAATAAATTTACATCCTCTCTATTTAAATTTCTATGGATTTGTTTGAGAGCATTCAAGTTTATTATGCTTTCTTATACTTTAATTGGGTAGGGAAGACAAACAGCTTAAAAGTAACATTTATTAAAATTGTTCACAAGGTTTACTATTCCATTGAAAGATACTGTAGCAATCAATTAGTAATGTAAAGTCACGGATTTCAGATTTTAAGATTTTTTGAGGAGATTGAATAGATGTAGGATGAAGTCTAGATGAAATCTAGATGATTTATAAAATTAGAGTTTCTTCTTTTATTTTTTGCTATGGGTTAGTAGAAATTCTATTTTGCAATTGTGGTTTATTTAGTGGAATACCTTCTGAATATGACTTTGAGCGCCTTACTCTAAACTATTGCACAGAAGAGATTTGAACATAGAAATACTTCTGTGAAATCCAATCCAATCCTCAATAGGGTTATAGAGAAATCTCATTATCGAAACCCTAATTCCTGCTAAGAGATCTAGTCTATAGTAAGTGTTTTTTCATTTAGATATTCATTAGAGTCAAATAAAATATTAAGCAGAGACTTTTGAGTAAGGAACCTAGAATTATGATCATCTGGTTTACAGATGTAGCAGCATAAAATGCTACACAATATCTAAGAATAAAAACATAAAGAGGGATTTTGTTCTTTGACCTACATAAATATTATTAAATAAACATTTAAAGTTTCACAAATGCAATATTAAAACTATATAATTTAACATTGGTTTTATTACACAATATAGTAAAACATACAACTACTTTTTTATATATTTTATTTTTCAGTTGTAATTCTTGCTTGGCTATTAGAGATTTTTCTATAGCTTGCAAATAAGTCTGAGAAGCATTTTATACTATTGATTGTATTAGGCTAATTACACAAGATTAGTATTTTCCAGTAGATGCACTTCTGTATCCAAGTTGCTCCACATCCTATATCATGTGCCAGGCATTTTCATGGAGAGCTGCAAAAATGGGTAGAGATGAGGGAAAGAACTACCACCCTAACCTGTGTAAAGCCTTCTGAATCAGATAAGATCCAGTTTGTGTAGTAGACCAGAAACCAGGAAACTGAGTTCTAGTCTTAGAAGTCAACACTAATTCAAATGGACACACACGCATGCAAGGATCTTCTAGTTTGTTTGTCTACCAACCAGTTTTTAACAACTATGATCAAAGGTGATTATCAGATCCAAAGGAAAAGAGCTAGAGCATCTTGCTATTCTCCCTGAAAGTTACCAATCCCCTATAATAAAGGATTATACTCTTTTACACTTTGCGGCTATGTTTATCTGGAAACTATAAGATCTGTAATCCACCACAATTAAGGTCTATATTATTAGATGAATTTGTCACTTGTGATAATTTGTTCCATTTTGTATAATATTTCTTGGTACTTTATCATTCTTGGACCATTATTTAAGAAAAATACATAGTTGCATGATTCTAAACCAGATATGCAGTGAAGTGAAGATTATTCATAGGTGGATTGATAAACATGTTTAATTTGGAACAAATAGATTAAAGTTTTCAACTATTGTTTTCTTCCTAATAATATTCTGAAATGGCAATTCATCATCCTGTCCTTATGTTCTATATTAAGCTACACAGTGTATTGCCTAGTGCAGATACTGAAACTTCTGTTATTATCTTAATCTTTCTCCATTGTGTAACATTGGACAAACTTAAGATTGTCTTTTTAGTACTGCTTCCTTTCTATTGTGCTTTCTTTTCAAAAGGTACAAAATCTTATGCCACTGAAGATTGAAAGATAAAATTGTATAAAGCATTATAAGTATCTCTAAACTAAAACATTATTTTAGGTATCTAGAGCAAGCGCTATATTATTTGGCAAATAATAATAGCAAATATTGATTCAGCTATAATGAATTATATGTCTAGATTCAAATTAAATCACATTTGGAATAGGCCTACACATTTGGAATAGGACTTAAACTACTCAGTACTTCCCACGCTCTATTTAAAGTGTGTTAAATGTAGCTACAGTTTGTTCTTAATTCAAGAATACAGATTAAATGCCTCTTTGTTCCTTTATAAAGTATATGTGTGTTTTACATTAAAAACATAAAACTAGTATTTTTAGGTGGACTTGAAAGATACACCATTAAAATAGCTATTTCTGTTCAGAATAGAACTATGGAAAGATAACTGGTAAATGGAAGAAATCTGTCAGTTAATTTTTTTCCAAATAATTGCCTTCTCCACCAAAATAGTAAAATGTATTTAATTTATTGATTAGCTTTCCTGGTAAAAATATGTTTCAGGTTAATGCTGTCACCCAAATGATACATGAAATAAGATAAATACTGGATAAAAATGTCAGTCCTGTTGCAAAAAAAATTATAACAAAAGGAATCAGAAGCTGTATTTTGTACAATAATGGCTTTTTACCCTTCTGTATAAGATACTCTGTATTCATCTCTAGTTTATGTTTATACATACATACATACATACATACATACATACATGTATGTGTGTATGTATATGCATATATGTGTATATGTATGTCTCTCTACATATATATATATTTCAAAATTTGGATTGCTAACAAAGAATTAAGGGAGAACTGGAATAGCCATTTCGAACTTTTTAGTTCTTTTCAACCAGACATACCCTTCTGAGATTCGAACCTGGGCTGTCTGCATGTTAGGCAGATGTATTAACCTCTAGGCCACAGGTTCTTTCTCACTTTGTCAGCTATGAGACAGGGGAGAA